CAGGACCACAAGAAGCTGAAGAACTATTTCCAATCTTTTGCCTACCAGTATCAGTTCAGGAAGTAGTCTCCAACTCTTATATGAGAAAAAAAGCTTTTTATTACACAATAGACCTGCAAATGAAAGCTGCAAAACAGTCTCACATCCACACATTAAAAAGAAATGATATATATGAAGGAGAGGAAGAGTTTAAGGGTGTAAATCAGTTCTGAGTTAAGTACTTTCATCTAAACACAAGACATTTTAAATAAAAAGCAAGCCCTCTGCCTCCAGTACAGAGAACTAATTTGCATCCAGTTTGTGCAGTTTCTAAAGCTGTGTCTAAAATGTCAGCACCCTAAGGGAAATTTTCCTCTGGTGACCTACACACACTGCAACAAAGGAAGCTGCAAACTCATACTTTAAAAGAAAAAAAACAAAACAAAAAAAAAAAAAAAAAAAAAAACCCAAAAGCCCAAAAAACCTCATGGGTGTGGCAGTGTGCTGGCAACACTTCGTGAAACGATATTCTTCCTGGCTATGAGAGAGCTCTGTGCACAAAGTCATAACACAACAGACTGCGAGTCAGTAATAAATAACCAAATGACAGTGACTGATGATGGCAAATCTGTCTCCAAATGAATTATTGGTAAAAATACTAAAAATTCTTTCCCTCTTAATATATTAAAGTCTTTGTTTAGGAGTTGAGTTGATACTGCCAGAAAATCCTTTTAACACAGCTAGCATAAATTCTAGTGGGCATTTGAATGCTGAAGCAGGAGAGACTAGCCCTGTTGAAAAAGCTGCCCCTAGAAAGGCTGCTGTTTGCATAAAATGCATTGGTTCTTCTCAGCTGGGAAATCATTTGATCTATTTTATATCATACACCCTGCCACTAAGGAAGCAAATATGGATATGAAATATGAACATGAAGCAAAACATAAAAAGAGACTTAATAACATGAGTAATTATGTTTTGCCTAAATCCTCTCACGCCAGCAAGAGGCACATACCATCATAAATTCAGCGAAGTCTGCCCATTTCAGTATGTGGGAAAGGAAAAAAAACACCACTGCAGCCAGGCCCTGTGAGGCACATTACTGCAGAGGGTTTTCTCGGGAGAAATTGAGAGCGCTGACTGAGGAGGGCTGATTACTGCAGCGCTTTAACTGATGGCCAGATGCAGGGGAAGACAAGGAGTCTGGAGCTGCTCTGTGCCATGACCTAATGCTTGGCACGTGGACAGCTGACGGAAGAGTCTACCACTACCGGGCCAGCACAATCTTTCAAAATGCGACCCAAGTCCTTACTGACAAATTTTGAGTGCTTTATGCTACTTCTCAGCAAATCGATACAGTAAAAAAAATGAAGAAAAAAAGAAGAAAAGACACAGACACAGAGAAGTAATCAAGTGCCCAAGCATTTGTGAAAAGCTAGTATTAGAAGTACTAGCAGATTATTCTCTGAAATTTAAAATTCCAGCATTTAAATACCAGTCGTCTTAGTTCACATCTGAGAAGCTCGTGATCCTACAGCACCAAATATAAAACATAATATTATGTATAGTCTTTACACCCAAATGCCCTTGATGTCGAAAACTTCCAGCTTATTTATAAACATGATTTTTAAAAGATGAAAAGAAAATCAGAAGCGCAAACGTTTTTCTTTTTCCAAACTACTGTAAACTTCTTCCTATTCAGACCTTAGCCTAATTTATTCTCTGGGTATTTCACAGAAATGACATGACAACAGTGATTAGCTGACACCCAATGCTAGAATTTAAGCTGTAATACAAACATGGAAACATTAGGACTGTGGACACAGACAAGAAATGAAAAGTGAAGCCTACAACACACATTTGAGCAAGTGCAGAAAAAATGAATGCAGACATGACACAAAGGGCTGTGAAGAATCATACTTGGATAAGAACTCTGCTGAAAACAAGTCTCCCTCTGTACAGAAGTCTGATTATATATAGCTACCTAGGTCTTCCGACAGAAAAATCGTGTACAAGTGGAGGACTCCGAAGATCCTCTACTGAAGTCAATAGCAAAACTACCACCAGCTTCACTAGGAGCAAGAGTCAACCCGCAATCTTTAGGATGAAAAACGGTGTTTCAGAATGTTACATGTAGGTGCAGTGCACAAAATGAAATAGAGGAAATCCAGCAAGCAATGCAGAATATTAAGCACTAATATTATGAAAACACTCATTGTTTTCCACAAAAATATATCCTCATCAATTATGACAAATATCTGCGGCAAGCATGCTAAAAAGATATCTCTTTTTCTTTTCACTGTAAACTGTGTTTTGTTTTTGTATTGCTAAAGCACAGCAGAGTGAAGGGCACACTCTGCTGGTCAGAAGCACCATTTACACTGGAAGCTTTTTAACAATATGAGTACTAAAAAATAAACCCCATTATATGACATCTGGACTTGAAGTGGTGCTCCACAGTAGGCTGCTACTTGACTTTTTTCATCCTGAATATTAGAGACAATGGCTATGATGCTATGACTGGACTTTCTCATGTTTAAATATCAGCCTACCTGCCGTAAGAACACCTTCTTTCCTGAAGGACATTTTTTAGCAGTACAACATAGTTCAAAAACTCTTTACCTTAGGCTTTTCATCCAGTATTTGCTGACGAATCTCCTTGTGTTTTTCTACAAGTTTCTCCTGTCTTTTACTCTGAGCATCTTCTAGCTGTAAGAAAAGAGCAGAGAATCTTTTTTCAGAGGTTGCACATCCTCACTTTCCCACCTCTTCCTCAACAAATATTTCATCCATCAAAATTAAAATGCTACCATCAAAAATATGAATAATTCTAATATAAACTTACACACCGTTGTCACAAGCGTCCCTGAGCACAACTGCTCTAACAGTTGTATGCAGACAATGTATCTCAGATTTCACACATGGGATTTAGAATCAGAAATGTCTAAAGGCCTTACTGTAGACTTTTAATGCTATTAGAAGTATAATGCATTTTTAAAAATCATATTATTTTGCTTTATCGTATGAGCTGTGCGAGATGGACCCTGTTCCCAGAAGAAGAGGATTTGCATACCAGAGTCCTGAATGAACATGCTGATAAATTTTGGGCCTCATTTAATAAAGCACTCAGATATGTGTCTGACTCCAACAGGAATTAAGCATACTTTATTTGCTAATTCTTTAGGTCGCTTCCTGAATCAAGGCCTCTGTGAGCAAAAATGGGCCAACTTTTGAACTGAACTATCTCTGCGCTGAAATTAAGAGAAAATTCAATAGCGGCATATGTTTCATAGTGATTTCACATATCAAAACACTGCGGTGTATACTTTCAGCCCAGTGTAAATGACCTATAGCTTCAGAAAAGCTAATACCTGTAATGAAATTCTTTGACTTGTATTTACAGAGCTCATAAAACGTTTTTTGCATTTCAGTAACTGTACAAATGTAATTAAGGTTAAAATGTACTCTGCAATTAAATGTTTATTGACTTTCAGAGTTCCTTATGCAATCTTTGCATTCATGAGACAGCAAGCCAATTAAAAAAATCGGTACATTTTCCATGACTAAACACAGGATATTCAAAGATGAAATCATAACTGTATTAAAATCTGCCCCTCTTAGCACCATCCCCTAAACACCGACTAACAATTAATCAGGATCTGTCTGAAATTCCAGTTTTCCTTTAACTGGAATATGAAAAGAAGTCTACACTGCATCTGTTAAAAATCAGCACTTGCAGAATCTTTATACCGAAGCTTAGAATCTTCAGTTTCATATGAACTAAAATACAAAAGCTGACATTTTACCCCCCCCAAATGAAAAATATACATATGGCCTGACATACCCGTTTTATGTACTGCACCACCTCCTGGATGTATGATCGAATCATTTCAGTCTTCTCTCTGGGGAGAAGCAATCAACAAGTTACTGTAGTCAATAAGATCACACCAATATCTTTTAATCCACCACAACTCCTTACAGAATAAGTAAGGCTGTGTTTTGAATGTATGGATCTGCCTACTTAACTTTTATCCACTTCCTGAACGTGCCTTTTGTAACAGGCTGCATCTTTATCGTACGAAGGGCTCAGACTTCCCCATGAGCTACCACAACAAACCCCCTGCTCTTTCACAACAGGCTTTTCCCACAGGGTACCGCCACGTCTTCAAAGTGATGGTGGTGTTCCTTAAGGCCCAAATGTCAGTCTAGGAGAGCGCACGATCATCAGTAGATGCACACTGCCACATTGTGGCACATTGTATGGTAGAGAAATAGTCTCTGTCCGCAAGCAGATACTGCTGGTGACATCTCAGAGGCAATGAATGGCAAAGCTTTCTCAAAGAGCAGGGCAGACTTGACTTCTGTCCCCAGCTTTGCTATGCAAACAACATAAAGCTGAACTTGGAGGAAATACTTGAACTTTAAGCGACTCAGTGAGATAGTTATTAGGTAATCTTTGGTCAAAGGCTGAAGATGAGATCCCCCAAAAGGATAAATGCACATAAAATAACAATTTGTGGATACTTGAGTTGACCAGATTCAGGACAGTACTCCAAAACCTAATTAGGGTAATTTCTATCTATTCAGGTGGCACTAAAATCTGACGTTTTTAGGTAGTTACACAATCCCTGGGTGCATGTAGGAATCAGAAAAAATAAGTAACAATACAATGTATTATCTCTGTGTAATATTCTTTCCCAAATTTGTGTAAAAGCTTTAAATAAACACAGCCTAGCCTGGATGACTCGAACGGGATACACCAGAAGGTCTCGCTACTCTCTGTCCTACCGCGAGAATGAGGACAAACTATGTCACTTGACAGAGGAAAGCTGAGTTTCCCATGTAGTTCCCATCTCAGCTTTCCCAAGGGCTCTTTGAAAAGCCTAGCAAAGGAAAGCCCTTGGGAAAAATGAGGAAAAAAAATAAAAGGAAAACAAAAAAGAATTTCTACTTGTCTGTTTCTGAGCCCCTCTCACTAGTGTCTCATTAACCTCTCAGCGAATCATTTCCTATTGCAATTGATTTTAACATTTTCATAATGACTACTTTTTTTCTAATATGACTTCCATGCCCTCTGACCAGCTCTAACCATATTAAGTATTTCTCCCTTTATTCATAATCAATTACTTTCATTTTGTTATCTTTTTTCTAGGATGTTCATTAAAATTCTGTAATAACAATTCTTAAATTTTCTGATGCGGTTCACTCTGTGTGTGTGACCTTCTTTCAGTGTCACCAAATACATGGATACTATGTTGAGAGGCTCCAAAACCTGTATAAACCTTTTTACCTGTAGAAAACCAAACCTAGTTGTGTCTTTGTTACTTGGTAAAACTCAGATATTCTGAATTTTTCTTTTTTTTTTTTTTTGTTCCTCCTGCATTTTTAACAGTCCTTAAATGTTACTAAAGACTGGTAACAAGAATATTCCAGCAAACAGTGCAAGATTAAAATGCTCCATTTTCTTTTTGAGCTGCTTGCCAAAACAAATGAAGGAGGACAAACAAACCTAGATGCTGTGCCCTTGGGAAGAATATAATCAACTTGCACAACTACAGTTTGTATTGTCTGGTGGTGCATAAACGAAATTAATATTCCTGTCCCTGTTCACAAAAACTGCACCCTCAGAGCTCAGCTTTCCTCTCCCTTCCGCCCAAAGTGACTGCACACTGCATACCACTGTCACTGGAGGAGAATCAGTAGCGCGGCATCTGAGGGGAATTTATCACAGAAGTAGAGCAAACCTTCCAGTGTGTTGCTGCTATCTCTTCCGGAGAGCAGCTTTAACAGAGTTAAGAAGAAAAGATAACACAAATAAAAATCTGAGTTAAGGTGAAATCAAACCCTGCAGGAACTGAAGCCACTAAGTCTATTTATACTCAGAGGAATAGTGTCTGGATTAATAGCATCTCAGTGAATCACTCCATCACGCCACTCACAGGCGTGTCCCCAACCCACACATCAGCACCTTTGCGCTGACCCAGACTCTCTATTCTCACAGAACAAGAGATTAGATTAGTCCCAGGAAACAAAATTAGTATCAGCGGAAGTAAGGAGGACTCACTGCTCTGGTGAGGTATTCGTCTGACTAAAAGCTGCCTTGTCTTTACAGTTGAGACCTTTCTTTGATTTTCCAGTTGTGAAAAATCTTGTCTCCTCATAACATATAAGGATGCGGATCTAGGGATATACTTACTCTTCCATTTGATTTTTATCCTTGGACTTTGCTTCTGTGATCTTCTCCTGCCTCTTCTTGTCCATTTTTTTCTTCAATTCTTTCTTTTCTCTAAAGCATAAAACATAAGGGCAAGTTCAAAACGTATCTAAACAAAACCAACACAGGAGTAGTAATCAATTATAAGGGGAATAGCACCTTACTTTTCACATGTTTCTTTCAGTTTCTTTAGCTGGCTGTTCTGACACTCCTCTGCTACATCTGTCAACTTCTGAATAAGCTAAAAAAAATCCCAAGAAACAAAAATATGTATTTTCAGCTAAACACCATACATGCATCTAAGTTTCCTCAAAAGTCTGCAGCAGACATGGAAGTGTTACACCATTCCCCGATTAATTACCAACGATCAAAAGCCAGTAAACATTCTTATTAGCATAAATGCATTCTTAACTTGCGGAGTCTAGCCAGACTTGTGTATGTCCAATTTACACAGAAACTACCACTTCTCTGTACATCAAGGTGATATAGTTTCAGAAGAGTAAATGTAAATCCAAAATATATTTTGCAGATTTTACCTTTGCTAGGAATTGAAATGCCTACGATAATTCATAAATGGTCACAAAGTGAATTTGCGCAATATAAATTACAAACTGAATTCCTGTGTCACTGAATATTCAAGGTTTCGTGCGAGTGTTGAAAACACTCCTCTTGCATTAAGCATTATTACATGAACAGCTTGGATTTCAGGGTGGTCAGGTGGATATTGAAAATTCATGCGTGATAGCTAAGAAAGCTAATTATAGATAATCATAGCCTACATTTTGAATGCAGAATGACGGATTCAAAAAATCCGAGTCGTTGGTTTGAAATCTGCTGTGCAGTGCTGGGTCCAGTCTCATTTGGCTTGGAACTGCTAATAAAAAGCATGCTTGTGGTGATGGTGCTGCCAGGAGAGGACACATGGACAGGGCTTGTGTGCAAGTTCAATGAATGGTGAATAAAAGTGGGAAATGGGACCAATTTGGTTTGATCACCCCCTCTAGTTTAAGTCTGATTCTGTAAAACCATCCTCAGGATGATGAACCAGAGGATGTATAATAATGCCTAGCCGGTCTAATCCAGCTTTTCATTCCTTAGATAAAAGAAAAAAGATACCGACAATAGCCTGTCCTCTAAAAGAAAGACATCAGAAAGAGTCTCTTAGCAGCAAGGCAGATTTTAATTGGAATATTAACTCCTGCACAGCTCAGAGAGAAAACTGTCTGAATGTCCTCTGCTAAAATATGCATTTATCCTGACACTACCTAACTGGACCATGCTGAAAATGTAACTTTGCTTTGAGAAATGCCATTTCCCATTTTGAAATGAGAAATGAGTTAGCTTATAATATCAACTCAACTATGTGGGTCCAAAATGGTTTGTTTTCATAAAAATTAAAATCCCTGAGATGCAGCCAACAACTGGTACTTGAATGTGGGCTCTCTCCCTGCAGCACAGGTAACCGCATCCATGCGCCCACACTGGAGCGGCTCCCATTGGGTAACGCTGAAGCGATTCACATAGAACTGGTGATAAACAGGGCACTGCTTGGGAACTGCAGCACCCGGCTGTGATCCATGGGAATGAATTTGTGAAAAGGCCTTGCTGAGCAATATCCACACATATTACTCCTCCGACCTGCTCTTTTTGGACAGCAGGGCAGAGCAGACAAATCGCTTCATCCAACAGTAATGAGGCAAAACATCATATAATAGAAAAAAATTGAGAGAGAGGATTGTCTGGAGTTGAGAAACAGTTTGCACTCCCGTAACACCCTTTAAAAATGTCCTTTTCTGCCTGAGAATATCCATCAGCATCAGCTGCCATCTGCCCAAGCTCCTCTATTTCAGCTCAGAGGGCCTATGATCCTGCTGTAGTTTTCAGCCAAACTCCAGCTGTAAAAACACAAGCTGGCTTGGACCGATGGACGCAAAATATTTCTTCATCATATACAGATTATGTCCTGCATCCCCTTAAAGCATTCATCTGCAACAGCAACACTGTTTGGCACAACTCTGTGCCCCAGGGAATGTTTGAATCCATTTTCATTTATTTATTTTCATGGTGTCTTCATTTATTTTCCAGCTAATCCTGCCTCCTTGAGTGTTGTACGTTTAAAGTGGCGGAACAAAATGGGAACATCATCCGAAAGCTGCAATAAACTGAGACTTACGTAACTATAGGTAAGGACTCTCTGTGTTAGCAGTAGTAATAATCCTGTTGCCTTTCTGCTTTCCATCCAAAAAGCCTTCCAAGTCGTTAGAAATGTTAGTGACAAAGTGACACAAAAACCCCTTGAAGTTGCAGCAGACCACAGGGAAATCAAGCTCTGAAATGGACTCCAAGTAAAAGGAAGCCCCACTTAATTACAATGTCATGCTGCTTTCATTACTCGCCCTGAGATCACTAAAGAAAAGCAGACAACATAACAAACGTACCAGCTTAATGTGCTCTCGTTTCTGGTACTTTTCACTGTAATACTGCTCCTGTCGGAGATTTAGCAGCTGCTGTTGTTGCTTCTCCTTCAGCTCAACTAGCTTCTGGGTCATTTCAGAGTCGAGCGCAGCTAATTCCTGTTCAATAGTTGAAGAACTGTGGTCTGGGCTGCCTGTTTCAGATCTGCAAAGACATACACACACCACTGAGGTCTAAGTCACGAGGCATGTACGCTCTGCCCCATATTTAAACCTTGTTTTTAAGGCAGCTGGTTACATGTAGCCCATTAAGAAGTTTCTTAGCACCACATATCGGGCCAGAAGATTATTTTCATTCTAATAAGTCCAATAATTTCATCTTTTAGGAAAAAAATAGCGTTAGCAGTTTATTAATGGGATGGCTAATGCTCTTAAACCTCATTTTACTAACCCATTACGGTGGTGTGAACTGGACTTAGTATAAATGAGCTAGAGATGCAACTGCAAGATTTCCCATAAACAGATGCCCATGGAACTTGTTTATCCACTTCCAGACGTGAAACTTGAACTTCAAAGCTGCCCAGTCCTCAGCAGAAACGGTGAATGCGAAGTATGTTGAAAACCGAGTCATTCTTACATACACTTAGCAATAAATTTAAGAGCATAACTTTACATCTGTATTTAGAAAATGCTTAAAATGGTAGGAGCATCCCTTTATTTGGTATTTTCTCCCCCCTTCAGGAAATGCCATGCATAGCACACACAGAGGAAAGTGCTCTATGGACTGCTGACTTTAGAAGGAAAGTTAACAGCCCAGTGGGGAGTAAACCTCAAAAAGGCAGCACATAGGAGCAAAGGAAAAATATAGTGAGGAAGCTAAAAAGCAACACTTAGGAACAGTTTTGGGGTTTTTTTTCTTTCTTAAGACAGAAGGAAGGATAGATGTAATTGTGAAAGGAGACATGACGTGACAACACTAAAGTGTTCAAGGGAAAAATAAGCAGCAAAAGCAGTATCGTTCTCAGGCCAGCAGTAAACTAAACCCAAGAAAAACATAAAAAAAATAAATTATGCTGTGTCCCTGCTCTACTGCTGTGTTTACTGCTGTACTCAGGTGTTAAATCAGTTGCCTGGGAAACCTCAGGAACACTGCATGAGATGGAAAAAACAGCAAAGCCTTGAACAGAGCGGGCCGACACTGTGAGAAAAAATGAGTTTGCTACTCAGAAATTTGCAGAGATTACAATGCAGAAAACTTGCTACACTGGCTGCCTACCTTTTCTCTCCCAGGTTCAAGTTTGCAGCTGCTGTCAATTAGAGTAACTTCAACTGAAATACTGTGAAGCTGCTTTCATCAGTCTGAGGATACGAACCAAGGTAGCCTCTTTTTATTTCTTGTATTTTTATTGTGTTTGAATATTCTGCTAAGAGGTTAAGCAGTGTCAGTGTGATAGGTGAGGATAATTTAAATACAGAGCCAGAAGACAGCATTAATGAATACTAAAGTCAGCATATTATGCCATTACACTATACATTTTAAAGCTGACATTGCCCTTGTATTATTGGGAAAAAGAAATAAGGCCTATTTCTGAATGCTGGCTGAAATACTAAGACTGTGTTTTAGTGTTTCAGCCATAATCATTAAAGAAACTTCAGAATACCACCAACAAAACACTTCTGCATGTGTATAAATAAATACTTTAAACTTCCTATAGACAATGACTTTACTGAATCTTGGCCCAATTTTAGACAAGGGCATGAAACATGGATTGCTTCCGACAAGAGACAACACATTTGTATGGCAACCTGATACAGGGACTCCCGATGAAGTAGTAATTTATATTTTGCATTTACAGGCAAATAGCTTCAGTAATAATTCAAAATGATAAAAATCACCTTTTTCCTTGGGATGCAGTATTCTATTAGAAGTCTTCTGCTTGAGATAATACATACTTGCAACTTTGAAAATCCCTACAAATCTCTTCCTGCCTTTTTAAAATTCAATCTCAGATTTTTAACCTTCAGATTTCTTTGTATCTGCACATAAAACTTCACATCTCTGAAATCACTGTGACAGATCAACCTAATAGACTGCAGGGTTTTATTGCCTCCTATCATGAATGATTTATGGTCAGGTCATAATGAAATGAAAAAAGAAAATCCTTTTTACTCAAAGATAAATGAGTCATTTATTCAGTTTGGTTTTCTGCTTAAATTTGAATAGAATATGCTACAGAAAAGAAACATGGCATTGTTTTGTCTGCCACTATCTGTCGCACACATTGATGATGGAAAATACAGTGGCTAAAATACCACTGTGTGTGCAGCTGACAACCAGTCTTTGAGGGAGTTTGTTAAACTCAAGCATAGAACCCAGAAGCCTGAAAACTGGCAACAGTTACGGCCAGCTGAACATAGATATATTCTGAGTGTTAAGCTCTTATTAAGCCCAATGACATTCTGTCATCAGGCAGGCATAAATGAATAAGCTCCTTCCTAGGGACAAGTTATGGCCTGAATCCCAGTCACTTAGAATGAGAGGTACTATCAACAAGGTTAGCAGCCAGAGCATGCTTGCAGCCTTTTTCTCTGATGATCTCCTCCCAAAAACTATCAAGTAATTTTTTTAATGTTCATTCAGTGCCTTCATATTCAACAACTGCAGCTATATCAAGTCTATGTGAAAGTTAAAGGACTTTTGTGCTTATCTAATTACTTTAAAAAATAAATTATCTTAAAATGAAAATGCTGCGTTAATGGGAGAAATAAAAATTTAGGAGGGTACCCCTACCTGATCATCATTCAGCTGTGACAGTATCAGACACTGATTGTACCTATGTGTGCATGTTTTGCTAGGAGTTAAGAATTGATCTTTATTAACATATAGCTCCTTACCATATGAACAAGACAATAATTGCGGAAAGATTAATGAGTCATGACAGTCTTTGCATTTCAAACTGATAATGATAAATACAACTCTCCTTTTTTGTTATTATCTAAACAAAGAATTTCAAAATTAGATCAGCACACACAAAGAGATAGGGCAATGCAAGATTTAGAAAGAGACATAGCACAGAAGGCATGTGCATGCAGAGGCAAAGCCAAGCAATCATTAAGAGATCCCCAAGTGGTCTGGATCAATCATCATTGAAACAGTAGTCAGATGTTAATAACTTTCAGGTGTTTCTTTCACCTAATTATACATCTGATGCCTTCTACTCTAGCATGAGATTTTTCCAGGGCTCTAACTTGAAGACAATGCTTTTCATCCCCAAATTCAGAATATCCGTTTTACCCATAAATAGCAGAAAAGAGGACTAAGTTTTTTTCCTGTTTTGACACTTGGGTCTCTTCCACCACCAGACATCACACTGTGGTGTCTCAGAGTAAACCAATTGCTTAATATGGGCAGGATGACCACGTGTGCTGGCTGTAACAACTTCTCCTTGCTCGAAAAAGGAGCTACATTTGAAGTTTGAACTGATACTCCTCCTGAAGGAGGTCAGCATGGGAGAAGATGAGGTGCTCTGATAAAACGCAGTTGACTTGAGTACAAAAGTAAAACACTTTATCCAGATAGGTTTGAGTTCTTTCACGCTGCAGTCTGGTTCCTGAACTGTCCCGGTACATAGGGGATGCCCCCTCTCATAGTTTGTGATTAAGCTCACTACTAACCACTGGCTGCTGTTGCCAGTACAGCTGAGTCACCTACCCATACCAGCAGTCTAGGGAAAGTCCCAAGATAAATATTGTGTGCCCTCATTTGCAGGGAGAGAGGCATAACATGGTGAACAACTTCTCTGGCTTCTAGCAGAGAAGCAGCACATCATGGAGAGGTCTTTTTCTGATGATTTCCCTATCAAAGACCCTGACTTCATTTTACCTAGGAATCTTGCTGCTTTTGATTTTTTTGCTGTGCTCTAATGTCAGCTCCATATTAATTGTCTACTATAAAAGAAGACTTGAGTAAAGATCTCCAATACCAAGAACAGGAAAGCTACATTCAACATACCTTTTCTTACTGTCTCTTTTTGCTGTTTTTTCTAAAACTGCTCTTCGTCGCAGGTAGTCGTTCTGGATTTCATTATACTTTGCAGTGTGCTCTTTGATAAGGTCAGTGGTTTTCTTGTGGTGCCTCTTTACAAGGTCCTTCATTTCCTTGTAGTGCTTCTTCTGAAGCTTAACAAAAGACTTCTGTTGTTTTAGCTCCTCAATAGTCTGTGCTTCCACTTCTACAACGACAGTAACAAAAGACACTTCAGTTTTCTAATGACGTACGATTTCAATCAGAGAACCCAGAAATTGCCATTAGCAGGAATGAAACAAAGCATGCTTGTTTACTGCTGGTAAGTGAAATGTGCTAGCTTAAACTAACTGAGTAGACTTATCTGGAAATAAGAACACCAAGATGTGTAGTAAAATAAAACCCATGTTCTTTCTTTCCTCAACCCCTTTCAAATGCAAAAGATTCCCATCAGCCCAACATATAAAAACACGATCCTGCATAGATATGGCCACCTTTTTGTACCCACTGTACCAACACCTCAAGTCTCCCTTCTCTCTAGATGGGCTACATAACACGCTGACGCCTAAACCCCCTTCACAATCAGCACTTCAGCTGCCTGCTCTCCTGCCTTGACCCGGGCACTGGCTGGAGGCATCTGTCCCGGTATCATCACGGCCATCTCGGGAGAGACTTCACTTCTCTCTTGATGGAGACCCTGCATCAGAGGAGTGACGGCCATCTGGCTGCCAGTCCAGTAAAGGATTGGTAGCTAAATGCTGAGAACTGCCCGCCAGCGCTGTCACTCCAACAGCAGCTATGAAGGATGTCCTGCTCTGTGAACCCAGATCACAGCTCGAGCTCAGGGTCTGCTAGCCTGACCTGCACGAGCTCATCAGCAATTAAAAAAAAAAAAGGATTGGAGGGAATGATGACTTGCATGATCTGGGGTCACAGCTCTGGGGAAGCCAGACTGCAGACCCCTTCCCAGACAACAGACTGACCGTATGAAGCCAGCAGGTACTGCCACAATCTAGGCCAGCCTCTTTCTACTGCACATGCAGGACACTGAATAAGAGGCAATCAACATGCAGAATTTCACGTCTTATATGTTTTCCACACCTAAATGTAGGCCTACACAAGATTTGGACACGGAATGGGTTCTAATGTAGGAGAATGACTATAAAATAAACTGAGTTATGAGATTTGCAATCTAAACTCTAACTCCAAGCTGGAGGACATGATTCCCAATTGAACAGTAGGGCATGCTCTCACCGACAGACCAGTTTGCTTAATGTAATGGTAATTTCAGTTTTGTAGGAGCGTGCTCGTTTCGGCTGAGGTAGAGTTAATTTTCTTCATAGCAGATAGTATGGGGCTATGGTTTGGATTTGGGCTGGAAACAGTGCTGGTAACTCAGGGATGTTTTGGTAACTGCTGAGCAGTGCTTACACAGAGTCAGGGCCTTTTCTGCTTCTCCCCCCACCCCACCAGCGAGTAGCTGGGGGTGCAAAGGAGCTGGGAGGGGACACAGCCGGGACAGCTGACCCCAACTGACCACAGGGATATCCCACACCATATGGCGTCATGCTCAGCAGATAAAGCTGGGGGAACAAGAAGGAAGGGGGGGACGTTCGGAGTGATGGCGTTTGTCTTCCGAAGTAACCGTTATGCGTGATGGAGCCCTGCTTTCCTGGAGGTGGCTGAACACCTGCCTGCCGATGGGAAGTAGCGAATGAATTCCTTGTTTTGCTTGGCTTCCGTGCACGGCTTTTGCTTTAATTATTAAACTGTCTTTATCTCAACCCACGAGTTTTCTCACTTTTACTCTTCTGATTCCTCTCCCCCATCCCACCACCGGGGAGTGAGTGAGCGACTGTGTGGTGCTTAGTTGCTGGCTGGGGTTAAACCACGACAAGGAGCAATGTGAACACTGCAAGGCTAATGAAGATAAAATAGTTTCACTACTATTCACAATATTCAGAGCAAATTTATCTTCTGTTCTCATAACAATGCTGGTCTTTTGTCTGCATTAGACAGTTGTGCTTGTGAAACTACAACAATGGGATATTTTTTTAAAAATTCCCTGTTGACACCCAATACTGATCTCATGAAACATGTGCTCAAACATTTAATAACTTCAAAGTTGAGGAAGAAAAGATGGTATGTAAATTTTCTGTGAATTACTGCAGTCCTAATCACTCAAAGAAATGTCTAAGCCAGATGGCCTATTGCATAAAAAAATATGTTTCTCTTGACAAAGAAGTGTATCATTTGTGCAGTGTAAACTGTGTATTTATTACCTGTGAGGACGCTCTGAATAAGATCTTCTGTCTTTGCAGGTGCTTTCACTGAACCTAGAGGTAAAAGAGGTGACTGATTAAAACAACAGCCATTATTGTGCCGCTTGATTGCATATTAAAACATGGCAGGTGACACAGGACATACACTGACACGGCATTTATCAATCATTTGAGAAAACACATCTCTGGAGCAGAAGAGCAGCAACAAGGAAAACACCACCGATCCTGTGAACCAACACGAAAAGGTAACCTTCCAAAAACCCGCCCGAGCTTTGTTGTTTTACTTTTGAGGAGGCTGTTATTGAACTCACTGACACTGCTCATACAAGTCACTTAAGTGGTATTAGGCTGCCGGTTAGTACAACTGCCCTATATTACGATGTCAGTGCAATATTTCTGTACACAAGATGAATCCAGCCCCTTGGAAGTCAGTTAGATCAAGCCTATGAAGACTGCAGTCATAAAATTATAAACCCTGTGGTTTAAGAAGCATTTGTTATAGGAGATATGTCAATACAAAATATATAAGTATCTAAGGCTGTATTTTGTGTGTGGAATAAGATGTAACTACACACATAAATTAGGTGTATTTGTAAAAACAATTTAAAGAGATTCCTGCACTTGCAACAACAGCAAAAAAAAACCCTCAGCAAATTTTCTTGCTTGTAATGAACTTCCACCACAAAAGCAACTCTTAAATACAAGATATTGATTATTTGAGGACGACTGGGCCTAACAGCATACTGAAGTAGTGGGAAAATTTCCACCTATTTTATAAAAACAAAACAAACAAGCAAACACACACACACACACCCCCCTTTGTTCTTTAAATGCAAAGCACATGAAGAATTATTATCCAGATTTATTTTGAAAAGACTAGACTTTTTTTGTTTTCCTTTGGTTTTGTTTTGGGGTTTTTTTGGGTTTTTTTGTGGGTGGTTTTTTTTGTTTGTTTGTTTGTTTGTTTTTTTTACCTGGTGTTGGTTGGCTATGGACCACCTGAGTTGCTGGTTTCGGTGTAAGAGAGGCAGTGTAATTTACTCCATTTTCTGCTGGTGTTGGCCTAGGTTCATTGTTAGCTTCGGATGGTGCATCTCCATGGTCAATCTGAAAATACATCATGATTTACATCACTCTTCCCAACTAACAGACTTAAAATTATTTATTTGCAGGTCTAGTTTAGCCTCTTTTTTAAAATGTAAAATTCTGGAAATGTTATATATAAATCATTCTCAAAGAAAACAAACAAACAAAAGATATCCTTAAGCACCATGGTAATCCAGGTGGTTCATTTTTGCAGGGTAAATTTCAAGAAGAAATAGAGCATGTATTATTCTGAAAAAGTTATTTTATTTTAAGCAGATATAACTCATCAGGGACGTTTTTCAGTACAGTATATATTAGCTGCACCAGATGTGAAATCTGTATTTTATTGAAAAGCATTGTTCTCTGCCATAAAACCTTTCTGGAAATAATGTAGAAGCTGGCATGAAAATGCTACTCAAATCCCTGCTGTGAACAAAACGCGTACACAAAATTACTTTTAAATTTCATAGATACACACAGCCCTATCATTATTCACTGTTCTTACAGAACAGAGACATACTTCTGATTCCCAAGATCTTACATTCTTGTAATTACACTCCAAGGATAGTATGTAAACAGTACTTCCATCCTGCTGCATAAATACATCTGTGGTATCCAAATATTTAAGCATTTTCCACAATCTTTTCTTTCTCTCCAGTTTCCTAAAGGCTCGGGCTTACAGCATACGTTGTACTACGCATTGAATATCTTATCATTTTCCTTGTGACCACCAGGTTTTAAGCAAGCCCCCAGCACTCAACAAACAGAAGGCCATTCAAAGCAATTTTTATTTTGAAATGGCCAAGCCTGCCTTCCTGCTGTCCCTGCGAGGGGCCAGTTGCCATGGTGTCTCAGGGTAGTTTTGGATTCGTTCCTTCAGCTGCTCCCATTTCACTCTTTGATGGTAATCACATTACATGCAGAGGCAGGATACCACAGTTGGTTTTTTTCTCCTTGATTACCCCACACTTGCAAAATATCAGCCTGCACTGCATCAATAGAGGCAAAATACATTTTGATCTGTTTTGTGCTGCTCCTGCCACTGATCTGCTTTATCTTGCCCCTGACAACATACTGTATATTGCAAAAGGATTTCTGTCTTAACAGCCTATTTCTACCAAAATTACAGGAGAGAGATACTGTAGTCAGAAACATGATGCAATTGAAAACCAATGCCAACAACTTCATTTATATCAAGCAGGAAT